AGGCAATGCAATCGCTACATTCATCAATCATATAAATATTGATGAAACAGCAACGATAATAGCATTCATACCGACGAAGTATATCGATATGTTCGCAAATGTTTATAGCAATGATGATATAATGATGAAACTTTCAGCGTGTTCACTTACAAGTGACTGTATCGGATTACGATCGAGTTGGTTCGAATGAACGTATCGGGCATGTCATAATCGGTAACAACACGAACGGTATCGCGTTGAAGCAATGGCAAGATATGCTTGCAACACCACGCAGATCAGTTGCACAATGGCACACCCTGATGCCATTCCATGATGACTAACCAACTGACTGCGTGTCTGATGACGATTGATTTTGCTTGTTGTTTCATGCGGTCTCTTATGTTCAGCCTGAGGCTAGTCTCATGGTTCTAGCCTGATGATTACGAGTGTTGAGCTGCAACAAGCTCACAGACAAACTGTTGTTATTAACTTGGTTTCAGACTACTGTTGATTTGCAATCATCATTGTTGTCGTGATCCTCATCATAATTATCATCGTTTAATAACTCATCAATTCCGTCACATCCAGTATTATTTGCCTCGCTCGATTTGCGGCTAGCACCTCATCGCCATTGTTGTTACCTATTTTTTGATACTCAGCAGCAATGATTTCTCGCATCGAATGCACTTTGCAATGTTAAGAATTTTGAGAATTTCATCAGCTAACTCATCCAGATTCCATCACTACTNTCCAGAAGCTCCTTGAAACAAACTTGCTTGAATGAATGAAATGACACGACGAGTAGCATTCAATGTTGCCTCGAAGTCGATTAGTCGTTGAGTTGTACATAGACTGAGTTTTTTCTTTATATCCGATTTCAGTTGTAAAAATGCAAACCAAAAGTTTAATGTCGGCTGGTACATTTGTCATTTCATTTCATTTCTAGTAAGTCATCATTATGAGAAGCATTCCGCTGAGATGCAACCGGCAAACAACAACAGTCACTGTGCTTTGATCTTCCACTTGCGATCAATCCTTGAAATGTATTTGTTGTAAGTATTCGTTGGTGTATTATTTCATCAGTGTGAAGCAGAAGTTGCAGTGACGAAAAATACTGCTGATTATTTGATTTCTTCTTTGATATGAAGCATTCATGATTCAAGAATTTTCATCAACCACGATTCAAGATGATTTTTTTTCGCCGAATGTTTTAATGAAGCAAACATTGCTAACGTTCTCAGTGGGATAGTTGAAAGGCACTATCAGTATGGCTTTCAGAGATACGAGATCTTGATATCGAGAATTCGATTTGTTGATATCTCGCTAATATCGATGACTTATCCACGCCAGCACCCATTCATGCCCATAAACCAACTGGACAGTCCATCATCAACGAGAACTTTTCTGCATTATAATTCTATCTTATTTGCTTCTTCGGCTACTGGAGACTGCTCAAGACCTTCCCGAAATCATAGTTATCAATGTTTTTGCGATGTGTTCAGTTCGCGGCAAAGGACAATGTTATGCGTTTCAGTTGATTCGCTCATCCAGCCAACTAACAAAATGATTCTAACCAATATCTTCAATGATTATGTCTACGAGGGCAGATGTCGAAATTTATCACCAGAAGGAAATACTCTGAATGTGAATGAGGTGCATGGTTAATCAGAGCCGTTTTCATGCTTTCAACAACGAACTGCTCATGAACTGTTTCGCTTGTGTGCATTCTGGACTATACATCCTGGATTACGCATCTTAGAATATTCATCTATCATACACATTCTTCTGATTTTGTGATTCGAAATATATAAATTCTTGGAAGTGGGAAGAAAATTCGAGAAGTGAGACGTTATGCCTCTGTTTCCTAACGTGATCAACATCGATCAAAGATGTTCGCTTATCATTCGATCAGTTTCATGTAAAATGCTTACTGATCATATCAAGAAGATCATAAAAAATCTCAGTGGTACAGTTGAGAACAGCACAGAAATAGAACACGTTTAATAGATCCATGTGATGTTCACACGGGTATAAATTGATGTGCCCGGAAGAAAACACTTTTCTGAATCTCACATCGAGATATTTATCTTAACTGCGCATTTATATGCATCGTCAGTAGCGATCGAACTTTTTTCTTTGCCTAACATGATTTCGAATACTTTCTTGGATTATTTCAATATGTTTGCAACTGAATTTTTGCAAAATTGCGCGTAAAATTACTCAATGGAGAATTAGTTTTACTACACCAGTCATAGTTTAATGAGCACTTAATGAGTACGTATGGAAAGAAAGGTTTTCATCTTGGCATTTCTATGAGAAATATTCGCGCTTTGCTGTTAGAACAACGTTTGGTAAATGTTCATCAGAATTGTGCTAGTATCTTGCATGATTACCTACAAATTCAGGGCAGTTCAGAGAAACAATGTTGGGATAATGACACCAGTGATTGTGGGCATTAATGGATTTAATTGTGATAGCAATGAATTGCTCGTCATCTTCTTGGTGAAATTAAGATTTTTATCTGTGTTTGCCGGTATGCTGATTGTTATATATTTTGACAATGATTCAATTACGTGTTGTATCATAAAAACAATATTTGATTTGATATCGATAATATTACTAATAATTTCAATGTCAATGTCGATTTTTCACTACAATATGACTTCGAAAAAGTGTTTAAAATGCTACTCATTTGTACCAATCGACTAATAAACTGTTATGGAATGAACGCATGATGCTGCCGCTAAATGAATTTTAAAAAAGAAAGAAAATCTTCCGGAATATACAGATTCAAGGATGCGGTTTGTTTGAAATGTATTGCTCGCGTAGATCTGGATGCTAATTGGGTAGTTTTTGCTGGTCACTGCAAACGTTCTTGAACTACGCACCATGTTAGGATACCATCAACAACAATAATATCTTAGCACTAGCAAATTAATTCAGATGTCATGTTGAGGCCATTTTAAAGTTCCTTAGCCGCAAACTCTGGAAAATTTCAGCTCCTTTAAATAACAGCGAGAAAACAATTATTCTGATCACGTTTATGGAGATCAAACCAAGANCAAATCAATTCAGATGTCATGTTGAGCCCATTTTAAAGTTCCGTAGCCACAAAATCTGGAAAATTTCAGCTCCTTTAAATAACAGCGAGAAAACAATTATTCTGATCACGTTTATGGAGATCAAACCAAGAAGACAGTAATATCAAAAAAAGAATGTGCAGTGTTTTTCGCTTGATGTCACATACGTAGAATATGAATAGATTCGTAATATCATACTCATAACTTCTCAGATTTATATATGCGGATATTGATAGTATCGTATTTTAAATGAGCATGTCTGTTGAAGTGTGAAACACGAAAAAAGAAAGCCAAAATACAATCGTCAATAATATTCGCATGACGGATACGGCATTCAAGTTTGGTTTCCGCATGGATACTCCTCGCATATTTGTTTGTTCACTCATTTGGATCGCAGAAAAAGCGATGATTGACAAATGATTTGACAAATGTATCGTTCCGGTTCATAATCTAGCCGAATCGCTTAGAATTGTGTAGGAACAATACACTGTGAATCACAAGGATGTTATATTTTGCTAAAACATTACATTTCCTTCTGTATGGTCTATGGTTTATATGACAACCGTTTACGGCAGATCGCATCTATAACTTACAAAATGCGCTTTAGAGAAAGAATGAGATTAGAGTCTCAATTTGAATGCACACATTCATTACAGATGTTCGTCGTGGATTCGGTGGCCTTTGTAATTGTATTGGGAAGAGCGATGGTTGTTTCGGGTAGCATGTATTATTTCGAGCCGAATTACAATTTTGAATACATGAATAATTGGGTGAATGATGCGCTTCCGTGTGAGGACGATATCGTACGAATGGATCAGCAAAAAATTGCCGTCACAATGATCAGTGATGGGATCAAATTCAGTGAAATGTTACTTCCGGATGATGGAATCATCTTTTTTGCACCGAATACAGCGATCGGCCAGAAAGCCAACTGGCAATGTGATAAAAGAGCGACACCTCAAGGTTTGGAGCATTGAATTGTTGAGAAAATAAACTGAATTAGTGGATTATTCGTTTTTCACCTCCTGCATCGCCACCCTCGAAAGAAGTGAGGAGGGAAATAATAACTGAGAGTGATCATCAACAGAAGATCGCTACTTGGTTGAATTTTCTCTAAACGATAAGAAAACGGTAAGGCGGTAGAAGAAGGAAGAAAAAATGACGGAAGAATAATTTCACAGTCATGGTTTTTTGTATTCAGCTCCATGGACGGATCAATTTTCAGTCCTTTAAATTCCACCAATCTTCTGAATTTGAAAACATTAACAGATTTGATTTCTCGATTCCTAAACATCGATTAGAATTGTACTGCTTGATTTGGACGCTTCGTTCAGATGCTTCGTTCATAACTAAGCCAGCAGCAAGTTTCTTCAATGGGTCGAACTGGATGGCATCTGTGGAGGGCAAAGAGACCGGATTTTTCTTAAATGCGCTTCAAGTCCCATCTGCTGAGGTGAACACTCATAACTTGTATCCACCTGAAGCAAGGGAAAAATTCAAGAGTTAAACTTGTCAAGGCACTTTTACATGCGAGTTTGCCACGACAGTTTCCAAAAAAATGATTGTGCTCCATGATGTTTAGTTGATAATTGTAGATCGACCAGTACTAAATATATAGCTACGACTCAACTCATTCAGCAGCTAATGGCTAAAAAAGTATGGAATATTTCTGATGTTAATTTCGAAAAAATGAATAAACGGTGTAATTTCAGGATACAGCCGTCATTCAAGCGTCTGGAAGCAATCGTATGCTCATCGATGATTTTATTGAACTGGACGCATTCTAT